TGGCACCAAAATCAAAGAAGGTCCGTTCCGCTTCTTATGTTTCGGTACCTGCTACTAAGCATCGATCGGCTACAATTCAAGCTTCACAAGTGTCTAAGGACTCTGCTTGTACTCAAACATCAAAGAGGCGTCAAGTATCACCTTCACTTTCCTTTCAGGAAGACTCTTTGGCCTCGTCTGCCTCAGACCAAGATGAGGAAATCCTTTCGGAAGCCTCAGAAGAAACTCCTCCAAACTTAAACACTCCGGATTCTGATGTGGGAGACTTGCACCCTCCCTCTCCGTCACAAGACTTTACGTCTTATTCCCAAATGATATCTCGTATGGCCAAATCACTTCAACTTGACGTCGAACAGCCATCGCCCCCTAAGCAGGATTTGCTGTTTGATAACATCAATCAGGAAAAGTCTCACCCTCTGAGCTTGGGGTTTATCCCAGCCATGATGGATATCATTAAGGAGACTTGGAATCTGCCATCCACCTCTATACAGCTTTCTAGAAGCATGGAGGCCCATTATAAAACCCATGGAAATGACACCTGGTTCCTGTCCAAACACCCGGCTCCTAATTCAGTCATTGTCCAGTCCAATCTTTCCAGGACAGGAGGCAAAGCCAAAGTTACCCCTACAAATCATGAGGGAAGGAAGATGGATGTCCTTGGACGCAGAATGTACTCCTCTGCTTCCTTTTTGTTGAGAGTATCTAATTATCAGGCTGCTCTAGGAGCTTATCAGAGACAACTTTGGGCCAAAGTTTTACCTGCCCTTCAAGCAGCCCCTGAAGATACTAAGACAGCGTTCCTCAATGCCCATGCTGAAGCATCAACCATTGCTAAACATCAAAGATTAGCATCTCGTCACACGGCTCATGTTGCATCCAGATCCTTGGCGTCTGCGATTTCCCTAAGACGTCATGCATGGCTGAGATCTTCAGGGATTGCAGAAGATACTAAAGCATACATAGAGGAAATTCCTTTTGATGGAGCTGGCTTATTCAATGAAAAAACGGATGAGATCATGGAAACCTTTCACAAGATAAAGAAACCGGCTAGGTCCTATACCATCCAACAGCAACCAAAGTTCCAGAGGTATCAATGGCGCAAACAGTTTGGACAGCAACAATACCAACACCACCACCAAACTTACCATCCCCTCCAGCTCAGGGAAGAGCAGCACAGTCATCTTCTGCTAATGTTTCGTTCAGGCCTCAGGCTTCATCTCAGCGCCACCAGTCCTACCATAAACCTTCAAAAATGGGAAAACGCTACCTTTACACATTCACAACTGTTACAGTCCCTCTCCAACCCAGATTGTTTGTATCACCTCAAGCCAGATTAGCTCCATTCCTAAAAATCTGGAATCTTATCACCAAAGATACCTGGGTGCTATCCATCGTTCAGTTCTTTTACTGTTTAAAATTCACAAAATTTCCTCCTATAGGTCACATCAAAAGAACATCTTATGCTCCAGCTCTAGAGGAAGAAATATTATCTCTGTTACAAAAGCAGGCCATTCAACACATGCCTTCTCACGATATTCTAAACGGTTTTTACTCTCGCTACTTTGCGGTTCCCAAGAAAGATGGGGGCATCAGACCCATTTTAGACCTCAGGTTACTAAATCCTTACCTCCGATCACGGCGCTTCCGTATGGTCACTCTAGAATCCATCATCCACCTGTTGTGACGAAAAGACTGGTTTGTTGTTATAGACCTAAAGGACGCCTACTTTCATATATCCATTCATCCACAACATCAAAAATTTCTTTTTTTCTTCATAGATATTGCCTATCAGTTCTGCTCCTTTCTGTTCGTCTTGTCCACCACGCCAAGAACATTCACAAAGTGCATGGCACTGGTAGCAGCTTACCTTAATCTAAAGAACATTGCTGTATTTCCATACATAGACGATTGGTTGGTAGTAGCTGCTTCCCTTCAAAAGACCATATGAAACACAGAGTTTGCAAATGATCACAAAGCTGGGCTTAAAAATCAACAGGAAGAAATCTCACCTTCGACCAACTCAGGTCATTGATTATATAGGTGCGCGTCTGGATTCAATCAGGGCAAGAGTGTTTCTTCAACCCGAACATGTCGACAAGTTAAAATGTGCGATCCTACCATCTTGTCCTCACACTAAAGTGTCTGCCCACCACACGCAACATCTCCTGGGCCTGATGGCATCAACTACGTCAGCACTCACTCATGCAAGACTGAAGATGCGTTCCCTGCATGCTTGGTATCTGTCCCAATTAGACCCTCTGACAGACAATCCAGCCAAGCGTTTTTATGTAACTCCGGAGCTAGCAGCACAACTAAAGTGGTGGACAATCATTCCAAATCTGCTAATAGGGCGTCCATTCCGCCCTTTGCAGCTCACAGTTCAAGTAACAACGGATGCAAGTCGCACTGGGTGGGGAGCACACACATCAACGATCTTTGGTCCAAGGAGGAGAGACTATTACACATAAATCACTTGGAAATGTGGGTAGTCATCAAAGCCTTTCATGCCTTTCATCCCTTGAAAGCAGGTCAGGGTGTCCATGTGGTCACCAACAACACCACAACCATGTATTATATCAACAAGCAAGGGGGCACCCATTCAATGACACTTCTATATTTAGCTGTTCATCTATGGGAGTGGTGTTATGTACATCACATTTTTCCTATGGCCATTCATGTGTCCACCGAAGACAATGAAGTGACAGACATACTCAGTCAAATGAATATCCAGACACATGAATGGCAACTCGACGACGCTGTCTTTGCGACGATTTGCAACAGGTGGGGATTTCCGGAAATAGGTTCGTGACTCATCTCAACACCAAGTGCGAAGTGTTCTGCTCTCAGGCAGGGATGGACAGAGCATCTCTAGGGGATGCCTTCATGGTGGAATGAATGGTCGGAATGCCTTCTCTACATTTTCCCCCCATCCCACTGATTCAAAGGACACTAATCATAATTCGTGCAGGCCAATGCCATTCTGACCACACCATGGTGGCCTCAGTGACCATGGTTTACCACTCTCAAACTGATGGCAACCAAATTCATCAGACTTCCACTGCTGCCACGTTTGCTCACATAGGATGCAGGCAGCATCTGTCACCTGGATCTAGATTCCCTGCACCTGACAGTGTGGAGGATTCTCCCATGATTAAGGAGGTTCTGGACAGGGCTAGGAAACCTTCCACAAAGCTTTTATATTCATACAAGTGGAGTAATTTCCTGATATTTGCTGAATCACGAAATTTACAAACTGTACCTGTATCTCTTGATACTCTGCTCACGTACCTGCATCATCTGTTTGACCAAGGCTTGGCTTTTTCCACCCTATATATATCTGCCATTGTTTTTTACCAACCTCTGGGATCGGAGTCCTCCCATTTGTTTTCTCACCCTACACTGAAATTGTTTTTAAAGGGCTTATAAAATATCCGACCACCTACCCGTCCACCTCTGCCTCACTCGAAGAAGAGCAAGCAAACTGGCCACCCACAGTGATGCACCATATCTACAATTTTTTCCAGATAAGGTGATTCTGTACCCTGATAACTCCTTTCTCCCTAAAGTTGTTTCAAGTTTTCATGTCAATCAACCATTGACTTTACCTACGTTGTTTCCTAATCCCTCTTTGGATGTTGAACACATGCTCCACTCGTTAGATGTTCGCCGTGCGTTGTCTTTTTATACATCCAGAACTAAGGACTTTCGCACCTCTCCCTGGTTATTTGTTTGCTTCCATGGTTCTCATAAAGGCTCTCCTGCGACTTCACAGACAATTTCAAGGTGGATTGTCTCGACAGTTACGAGCTGTTGGGTAAAACCCACCTGAGGCGCTAAAGGCGCACTCGACCAGAGCTGTGGCAACTTCCACTGCCCTGCTGCTTGATGTTGATGTCTCGGACATCTGCCAAGCAGCTACATGGTCCATTCCGTCCACTTTTGTGACTCACTATCGTTTGGACCTCAGGGCCAAGAAGGAAGCGAGTTTTGGGACAGCTGTGCTTACTTCGATACTGGAGTGATGGCCCACCTTCCGGTAAGTGAGCATGCTAGTCACCCAGTTGTGTGGATTCACAGAGGCCACATAGAAGAAAGAGAGGTGACCTACCTGTAGCCATGGTTCTTCTAGTGGTCCTCTGTGAATCCACACATCCCACCCAGCCTCCATGCTGTCCATCACTCATGTTCTTAGCTTATAGAGCTTTGACAATGGCAGACAATCGGAACTGAGGTACACGAGCGGGCGGAGCATGTGTGGTAGGGGACAATGTGCTACTAATTTCTTAGAATATTTCAAGGATCCAGCCCAAGCACAGGCTAAACCCAGTTGTGTGGATTCACAGAGGACCACTAGAAGAACCATGGTTACAGGTAGGTAACCTCTCTATTTTTCATTCCATGCTATAGACGTGTTCACTTCATCTTTTGTGGTAGTGCCTTTATGATGTAGATATTTTTACTTTATGTTATCCTCTGTTGATGTAATTGCCATGGACTGCTTAATTTGAGATGCTCACAATGTTGTTTTACATCGCACTCTTCAATAACCTCCACTTCAGAAGTCTGGAGACTTTTCATGAATGTTCTTTCTCTTCAGTGGATGGTTATTCCCATTTATTTATGAGTTGTCTTACTATTATGTTGGAGTCTAAAATGCATCTGTGTTGCTGAGTGAATAATTTTAAGAAATTTAAATCCTAGAGATCATATTTTGAATCATTGCGGATGTTTTTAAAACAGGTCCTTGCGGTTGCAGAGGCTGGTAGCTTCTTGAATTATATTTTCTTCGGCTGTGTTATATCCAGGAAATGACAGGCTTGTCCTGCTAAAAGAAAGGTTAAGCATGATGTACTTTGCATAACCTGGACTCTGAGGGAAATAAGAGGAGTAACCCACCCTAGATAATAAGCAAAAGGGAGAGTATTAATATTTAGGCTAGGCCCATTGTTCCATTTTGTTAAAGTGGTATTTTATGATATTTTCATGTGTTGTGTTTTTAGGGCAGTATAAAGCAAGTCGTACAACAGATAGAAGATCATGAAAAGCGAGTAGAAGCACTAATAGAATACAACAGGACATGCACGTATGTGTTTATAAAGTCTCATTAAGTTGGATTTCAACCTTTTCCACACTGATACAAATTCCAGGGGAATTAAGTCTAGATATTAAAAATATTAAAAAAAGAATTAAACAAATACTATATTAAATTAGTAACTAGGATAAATATTAAAACACATTTAAAACAACAGAGCACAACATTTAAAACCCCTCTCAGACCACCAGTCACTAAGAAAAGCCTGCCTGAAGAGAAAAGTCTTTACTCAGAGTTCTCAAATCCATACTGGAGGTGCTAATATATACACAATTTGGAGATGTGATCAGACTCTAAAGAGGGGAGTAAACCTACCATCTTTCATACTGTTTGCTTTAGGGGTTTACATACTACACACTTTAAAGTTCTTCAAAAAAGAAAAAAAATGAAGCCATTTGTGCCCCATCCAACTCAATTTGTGCTCTGAACATTAATCGATTTATACATTTGTTTCCTTCCACCCTTTCAGACTTTGTGATTTGTCCAGATTCAGTGCATGGCTCTGTTGACAGGCATCACGAGTGGAAGCTCTTCACCTTCCTATCTACTCTTGAGAGTGTTTACTAGTTTTATGATGGTAGCCAAAGAATACTTCTTTCCATAGAGAATTTATGTATACCCTTACCTTGGGTGATCATTGTGTTTGATTGTCTTTCCGATTTCTGCTTCTATTAAGTCATCTGTTGTTTAAAACGGCACAGATTCCTCATCAGTAAAGTAGAAAACTCCCTTTCTTTGTAGCTTCTGTTTTAAGAGCATTGGATGTGATGGTGAATGCTCAAAGTCATTCCTTCTAATTTTGTTGCCCTGCTGTGCGGGAGCCGCACCCCGTGTGCAGGGGGTTCCAGCTGAAACCAGAACTAGATGGACAGCAACATCAGCTGCTGATGTGCAACCCCTGTGGATCTCTGTGTGCGTGTGCAGCTTAGAGGGAACAAAGATTATGTGGGCTGTTCAAATACTGCCATTGAATGTGATGCTTCTGGGTTACTACTAAGAATGCATAATTGCCTACCCTGAACCAGGTTTTAATGTTGCAGTGCCTCCTCCTTCCTTACAGAAAAAAGTTTCTAAGAAATTTATGTGTAAGTTCTTTTTCTGGTGGTTTTCCAGATGACCATCTTTTAAAAGGAGTCTTCTAACTATTTCGATCACCATAGATGCAAGCTTTAGGATTACATTGGCAGGACGTATCACTCTTAGTCTAGCAGATTGCAATATTTAGGAAGAAAATGAGTTTAAAGAACTGGTAGTTGGTCTCAAATAACATTGGGAGGAGATGGAGCAGGAAAGCCAGGGCTCTCCCTCCAAGTGGGTGACTGCCGAAGAAAAAAGGACTTGGAGCTGTAAAACACTTGGTGAGCTGATGGCCGAACCAGCCATTTGTGCCCGTCGGTAGTCTCAAACTGTCATGTTTGTCATCCACGTTAAATGGAGGCAGAAGCTGATATATGAAACCAAAACATTACTAGGTGACATGGAACCCTAGCAGCATCTCTTACTGTCAGAACAGCAGCATTGAGATTGGAATTTGAGATTGAGCAATTTTATCTACAAGTTACAACACAAATTCGTCATAATGAACCAGTGAAGGTTCCATCTCATCTGATCCTATAGAGAAAGGTCTTTTGTCACTTGAAAAAGCTCTGCTGGCTGACACTGATCATATATGTCATCACCACGGATCTGTGCCATCAGGTGTTTCTCAGAAGCTGAACAGGTTGATAAGTTCTGTGTCACTTGGGCTCTGGTTGCCGACTTAGCTGTTTGTTATGTTGCAGATCTTCAGAAAACCAAAACACACCAGTATGGCTTTATCATTGGATTGAAGGCAGGGACATTTGATAGCTGGAGGCATCTCTCTGTTCCAAGAAAAAAACATGATCACAGTAGAGTGTCTGCCTAAAAACATAGATGATTCCTCAAGAAACCTGAGGCAGTCAACCAGAAGTATCAGTCTAGACAACTGAAAATACATTTTTGTTAGTCTGTTAACTGGGGTGGAGAAGAAGATAAAGGAAATAATTATTTTTGGTAATTCAGTCATTATCCTCTATCAGATATTTCTGAACATGCAGTGATTATACATTAAACATAAAGCAAGATACTAGTAAAATAGTATAGTTTCATTTTGTGAGGAAAAAGTATTTTGCAAGTGTTACAGGTATACAGTATGTCAGATTTACTGCCTATAGGATTCATGACATTTATTAACTGACATTCATTTGCCTATCATGTTTTACCTTTTTGCTTGAAGGGCATCTTTAGAAAATAAAGAAGAAGAAGGAGGAAAGCTGGCAAATGAAATTGAAAGTTCAAAGATACGAATGGCTGAAGTAAACGAAGAATTGAATAAAATTGTTAGTGACTTGCACAATGCTAGAATGGATGTCCATGAAGGGAAACGGCAGCAGATGAGAGCAGAAAAACTGGAGAGTCTAAAAAGATTGTACCCTGATTATGTGGTAACTAGGCTTTATTAATATGTACAGTAGGCATCAGAATTTTTGCTTGTGAACAGGTGATTTATGTAAACAGAAAATTTCAAGGAAGATGTCTATTCTGGGAATAAATGCAGCTGAGAATTGGCAGACTATTTTGAATCAGTGGTATTTCTTTGATTGAGGTAAAACAGAGATACTAGAAATGGTGGGTGGAGGAAACTTTGGTTTTTTTTTATTAATATGTACAGTAGGCATCAGAATTTTTGCTTGTGAACAGGTGATTTATGTAAACAGAAAATTTCAAGGAAGATGTCTATTCTGGGAATAAATGCAGCTGAGAATTGGCAGACTATTTTGAATCAGTGGTATTTCTTTGATTGAGGTAAAACAGAGATACTAGAAATGGTGGGTGGAGGAAACTTTGGTTTTGTACAACAACTCACACAGTTGTTGTGGGTTTTTCGGGCTCTTTGGCCGTGTTCTGAAGGTTGTTCTTCCTAATGTTTCACCACTCTCTTTGGTCGGCATCTTCAGATGACAGCACCAGAGCATAGAGTGCTGTTCTCTGAAGATGCCGGCCACAGAGACTGGCGAAACATTAGGAAGAACAACCTTCAGAACACAGCCAAAGAGCCCAAAAAAACGCACAACAACCATTAGATCCCGGCTGTGAAAGCCTTTGCGAATACATTAAACTCCCACAGTCTTGTTATGCTTGGTGATGCTCAGCAGAGCTAATGAGAACTGTAGGCCAACATCTCCTTTCCTCTGCATTATAGGGTCGGTCAGTGCCGAATCAACAAATGGTGGTTATGTTAAATCAGTGGTTCCCAACCTTGGGTAACCCAGATGTTCTTGGACTGCAACTCCCAGAAACCATGGCCAACATAGCTGGTGGTGGAGGCTTCTGGGAATTTTAGTCCAAGAACACCTAGAGTACCCAGGTTGTGAACCACTCACTGTGTTAAGTGAATGGATTTTTTAAAAATGTGGCAAAGTGACAAATAGCATTATAGCACCTTAAAGACTTTATATTGTGGCACAAGCTTTTGCGGGTGACTGTGTACTTCCCCAGGGGCATAGATTAGAATCTCAGTTATCAAGTTATTATACCCATGATTGGATATGTAGAGTGTTGTAACTGGTGAATCAGAAATAACTGAAATATGGAAATGCAAGCAGTTCTTACAACTTGAACTGGCAGCTAACAAAACTAGCTCGTTACAGACATACTTGCATGAGTGAGCTGGCTTAGAAGTTGACTACACAGACATTTGGCATGCTGTTTGGTCCACTACAGGAATGGGCTGGTTCACTTTTAAATATGGCAATCAGAAGACATACTTGTTGAAGTGAATCAGTTCACCCCCAGAGTTTATACCTTTTTGAGTCCCTGACTGGGGCAGGAGTGATTTCCATGTGAATTTTCAGACTTGATTAGCTGCCTCTAGCCAATCCTGACTGTTCCAAAATAACCCTCATTAGCTTGCTCCCTGCTGCTATTATAGCCACACCCTTAGTGTGGTTTTTAAAATCCTATATTTTTACATAGTAATAATATAGCCACACCCTTAGTGTGGTTTTTAAAAGCCAATTTTTTACATAATAATAATCTTAGAACTACAGAGCTGGAAGGGACCCTTTAGATGGATCATCAAGTCCCAGCCCTTGTCAAGGAAGTACAGTGGGAAATTGAAGTCCCAGCTCTCCGGCTCCATAGTCAGGTACTTAAAAGCACTGAGCTATCCAGCAGTTAAAAGCCGTAGGAGATGGAGTTGGTCCTTTTACTGAATTTTTGTTCACCTGTTTTGTGCTGGACTCTTTCTTCAGGCCAGACACAGAATGTCGGGGGTGTTTGAAATGTTTCCTCACTAATTTTCAAATATTGCCATTTCTGGTTTGTGTCCATCCATTCTTTTATATAGAGACTGACCTGCAGAATGCAGGGGGCATTCCTAGCAAATAGTGGCATATATATTACATTGGGAACAGGTGTATGTGCTTTTGATGTTCTGGGTCAGTTAATAAGACTCTGTAAAAGTTTTGCCGGAAAAGGCATGAGAACATACTTTTTAGCTAGGTTGATACAGGGATTGGTTCTCAGATCTGCATCTCTGCAAGATCTCTTGTTGTTGCTAATGAACAGTATTTTAAAATTGTGCAGCTGTCTGTAAGGATGTACAGCTTTTTCCAAGGCCCAGAGACAGAATATAATTGTTCAGGATGGCCATTTATATCCTGGGTGTTAGTATTTGAATTATTTTTGCTGCAAATTATGGAGAACAAGTTAGGTTGTTTTCTGTTCTTTAGCCCTTTCCTAAATGTTTGCCGTTCATTTAATCTGCTGTATTACTGTACATTTGCCATATAGTCATTTGCAGTTTTGAAGTAGGTGCTAAACTTCAGAATGAGTCCTTTATTGTTGTTAAATATTGTGGTTGCATAGCTTTCCGTGCCTTTAAGAGCAAGAAACTGGCAGCTGCTAAAAATATGTTTTCCCAATAGGAACAAAAGAGCATGGAGTAAGAGATTATTTGTAGAATATATTTGTGCACGACACTCTTAATTACCTTAATTACTTGAAGTTCAGTATGCATGTGGCATTGCTCTGTAGGATTTATTCAGACGGTGTACCTCATCAGGTGTTCCAGTACTCAAACCACATTATATTTGATGGACTACTGAGTGGGGAATATCAGCATATTTTCAGGGAGAAAATAGGCTCATTTCTTGACATTCTGTAATAGTGTGCTAGCATAAATGCACAAGCATAATTCTCTGTTCTGGGAGTTCTAACTGACAGGCAGTAACCTTAGACACCTAATTGTGGCTAACCTGGGAGAAAGACCTAAATTGGAAACGTTGAGATTTAGGCCTAACTCTGCCTAAGCTTCCTGTTTCTGCCCCAGTGCTCCTGAGAACTTTCATTTGGAACAGGAAGCATCTAGGCAAGAGTCAGAGGTGATAGTTATATCTCAGGTGATAGTAAGCTGGAGGTTGTTAGAAAGGAGACTTCATTTTTACTTGAGCACCAGTCTTATGGTGCAAAAAATACGGTAAGTTGGAGATTGTTAGAAAGGAGACTTCATTTTTACTTGAGCACCAGAGTTCCATCACTGTTGGCAGAGGCAGCTTGTGACCAGGTGGGAGGCATCCTCCCCCCAAATTTTGAATCAAGCAACTCCCATGTCTATCCAGAGGCAATCCCTGTGTGATGGGGTGGGGGATGCAGTGCAAGCTAGAGTATTGCCCACTGAATTATGTCCCGATTTTGTGTAAAAAGTGTGAAAAATGAACTAGCATGGCTTTCATAAATTAAAATGGCTTTTTGCATATTTGAATATTATCTCTGTTTCTTAGTTTGGAAGATTGGTTGATTTGTGTCACCCTATTCATAAAAAATATCAACTGGCTGTCACCAAAGTGTTTGGCAAGTATATGACTGCTATCATTGTGGCTTCAGAAAAAGCAGCTCGAGATTGTATTCGTTTTCTCAAGGAAGAAAGAGCTGAACCTGAAACATTCCTTCCTTTAGATTATCTTGAGGTGAGCATTTCTTAAAAGGAGTTGTATTAGGCCAATGTCCAGTACAGTGGTGCCTTGACTTACGAATGTCCCAGTTTACAACCATTTTGAGTTACGACCAGCTCTGGCCGCAAAATTTTGCTTTGACTTATGGCCGGAGCTTCGAGTTACAACGAAAATAAGGCAGGGAAAAACGGCGGGGAATTCAAATTGCTAACTGTTGGTAGGTGAGGAGGCTGCTTCTTTGTAGCTCTTTCACCCCAACAGTTAGAGTGAGTGCGTCGGAAGAGGCTTCGGACTGCCTGGTAAGGTAAGGTGCTGCTTTCTGCTTTTTAAAAACTGTTCTGGGTGGGTTTTGCAGCATGGTTTTGGGCTGGGTGGTGGGATTATGTTTCTATGCTGTGATGGGTCTTTCGGGGTTTGTTTTTTGGTTTTTTTCCCATTTCCGATGGGTCTTGTGGGGTTTCGTTGCTTCTTGCTTTGCTTTTTTTTGCATTTCCAATGGGTCTTGCACACTTTGCTTGCTTTGTGTGTGTGTGTGTGTGTGTGTGTGTGTTTTGCATTTCTGAAGGGTCTTCTTGCATGGTTCGCTTGCTTTTCTTCCCCCCCAAACCGGAACGGATTACAGTGATACCTTCGCAACGGAAAACCCGCAAGATGAAAGCGTCTTGCGAGTTTTTTTGGTGCTCCACAAGACAAAGATATTTTTGTCTTGCGAGGTATGTTTTCCCATAGGAATGCATTGAAATTTAATTAATGTGTTCCTATGGGAATTTTTTTTTTTAAAGTAACTTACCAGGTAGGGAGCTGGGGAAGCACCATTGGAGGACTGGCAGGGTCCCCTGCAACTGTGATCGCTGCTGTCAGCGGTTCCCTGGCAGTCCTCTGATAGTGCTGGGCAGGCCTTCCACAGCACCATTTTTGAACTTCCCGCACTTTCCCCCTGCCTTTTCCCATTCGGAGGCTTGCCCAGCACCATCGGAGGCAAGCCTCCGAACGGAAAAAGGCAGGGGAAGAAGGACGGGAAGTTCAAAAATGGTGCTAGGGAAGTCTTCAGAGGGTTGCCCAGCTCCATCGGAGGACTGCCGGGGGACCTCTGAAAGCGGCAGTCATGGTTGCAGGGGACCCCCACCAGTCCTCTGATGGTGCTTCCCCAGCTCCCTACCTGGTAAGTGACTCACAAGACAAAAATTTCCGTGAGACGGCTGGTCTCACGGAACAAATTATTTTCATCTTTCGAGGCACCACTGTGATCGTATTTCTGATGGTTCTTGCAGTGTTTTTTGTTTGTTTGTTTGTTTGTGTGGCGGAAGGCCCATGTCCTACCTGTCCATCATGTGGAGCTCTATAGAGCTGGAGCCTATGGGAGGACAGGAGGGTGGAATCAGGAGGACAGTTAGAGACAGTTGGAGACTGAGAGAGAAGGAGAGAGAGGTTTTGAAGGTTTATGAGAGAGATTGGAAAGTTGGTGTAGTTGGTTGATGTGTTAGGACAGAAGTACAGTACAATAAAATAGATAGACAGTCATCAGATCTTATTCCGGTGATTGATGTGCAGTAATACAAATAAAGAAACATGTTTAATATCCAAGTTTAATGAGTGCAACATAATAAAACATCTGTGAACTTACTTCTGTGATTCAGCAACCAAATAATAAATAATCAGTTGCAGTTGACAACACATGTCTATGCAACATTATTGTTAAAGTGTGCATAAAGATCCAATGGTGGCAGTTGGTGAAAGGAGAAATAAGCAAGTTGTGTGCAAAGGTGAACCTGGGTTTGAGGGAAACAAACTAGGGACACTGGGGGTGGGCGACTGTGTTTTTTTGTGATTTTTTTCTTCGGCTGGAACGGATTAGTTGCATTTCAATGCATACCTATGGGAAATGGTGCTTCAATTTACAACCATTTCGAGTTATGACCAGAGTTCCTAAACCAATTAAGTTCATAAGTCGAGGCACCACTGGACTGTCATTCCAGATGACTTTTTCTGATGTTCATGGATGTCTAATTCGAGACTGTGCACAAAGGGATAATCCAACCCAGTATCTAGTTGTAGAAGTAGCAGCATGACTTTACATGTTGTCAAGTCAATTTTGAGTTAAGGCAACCCTTCTCAGGATGTTCTAAGTATAAATTATTCAGAATTGTTTTACTGTTTTCTCCTTCACAAGGCACTCTACGGCTCTGCAGCTTGGCCAAGGCTGCACAGCCTGGCTCTTCTTCTGGCAGGGACAGCGAAGGGATCACAAATGTGATATATAATGCAAGTGGAAGCATCGGTAGGACTCTACTACCACACACTTTTCCTCAGCTGACATTGTGTTAGATCTAGCACTTCATTTTTCACTCCCGAGGCTTAGCTCAGGATCACTTCTACCACAAAGTGAAAACTCTTGTTAAATAGTTTGAAATATGTATTATTAGTCATAATGCTATTAAAATGTCCAGTTTTGTAGACTTTGTGTTGAATTTATATCACTACAGTTCTCTTTTGAGAGCTGTTTCATGTTTATTTTTACTTCTCTCTGAAAGCATGCATGGCTTGTTGAAATGTATCCTTGTAAATTTTTTAAAGGTATAGTCTTGTTTCTTTGAATATATTATTGGAGCTTCTTGTGGAATATTTAAATTACTTTTTAAAAACATTATATTTATGTTAGGTGGAACCAATAAATGAGCAGTTAAGAGAGATTAAAGGATGTAAGATGATGATTGATGTCATACAGACTTCTTTTCCTTCACTGAAGAAAGTAATTCAGTTCGTTTGTGGGAATGGTCTAGTTTGTGAAACGGTAAAGGAAGCAAAGCAATTGGCATTTGATGGTCCACACCGCCTAAAAGTAAGCACTAAGCCAGTGGTTCCCAACCTTTTTTGATTTGCAAAACGTCTCTTGCTGTATCAGCTTTTTTTGAAACATTCAACCATGTCATCTTCCATCTATGCTATGAAGTGTTGTAGTCAGAGAAGGACAGTGACACTTAGCTGAAAATGTAAAAATTTGGAAATTCTAATTTTTCTTATCAAGTAACTTGGGTTGAAAATATGTTAAAGGGTTTTATGGCCATAACTGTAACAATCTTCCAAAAGGATTTCGCTGCTATATTACACCTAGTCTAGATTTACTATGGCTAGTTCGACCTTTGAAGCCAAGACATATAGCAGTGAAATGCATACATAATTGTCTCCTGATTAGTCTGATAATGAAGTCATTCAGATTTACAAGTCTCTATTTTGAAATTAGGCCTAAGCTGCAGACCTCATGGCTGCAATATCTATCCAGATATTTGAACCCTTCTCTTTAATCATCCACCTCCTTTTTGCGTCATCTAGCATAATCATCTGGATATATCAAAAGTTGCATATATTTGTTGCATATTGTTTTGTGGAATAAGGCACATCATTTTCATGTAATATGGATATTTATTTCCTGATAATTGTGTTCATCTGTTTACTGTCACGTCAGTTCAGGAGTTGTTAGTAAAACAGCAAGTGATGAATAACATTTTAGTGAAATTTCTTCATAAATTCAGTGAGTTATCTGGTAAAAAAACCTTGAATTTTCAGACAGTAGCCCTTGATGGAACTTTATTTTTGAAATCTGGAATAATTTCTGGAGGGTCAAGTTATTTGAAAATGAAGGCTAGATATTGGGATGAAAAAGAAATGAATGTACTTAAGGAGCAAAGAGAGAAGCTGATGAATGAACTAAAGGTAAGTCTAATTAAATTATTTTTAACTCTGTGGAAGTATAAACAGATCTCTTTTTTACTGAAACATATACAGTTGTGCATCGCATAACGAGCGCACCGTTTAACGATGAATTCGCATTGCGATGCGGATTTTGCAATCGGTAATGCGATCGCATACCGATGCTTTATCGCATTGCGATGGGGGAACAGCTGTTCCGCGGTTCAAAAATGGCCGCCGGAACATGGGGAAACATCGCAGAACTGTGAGTTTGGGGCCCATTTGGAAGCCCCAATGGGCTTTTCCGTTCTGTTTAGCGATGTTTCCCCATAGCGAAGGTTAATCCGGAACGGATTAACCTTGCTATGCGGGGCATCACTGTACTTTGTTTAAATGTTTATAGTGTTTGTGTGAGGTGACGAGCCACCTTGCCCAAGATCAGGAGAGTGTACCGTCCGACTCTCAAATAAAGACAGAAGCACAAGAGACAGGAGTGATAGAAAAGGAATTAAGTATACTAGAAATAAGAGGCTGAAGGGGGCGCAAATCAGGCAGAAAAGGAGGAGAATAAGAAGGAGGGAGAAGGAGGGGTAGAGGTAGAAGCACGTTGGGGAAGAGAGGAGAAAGGAGAGAAAAAGGAAGAGCTTGTAGATTTGATCGAGGAAGATCCTTGGACAGGAGAGTCGGTGGAATTCAAGTGCCTTGTGAGTACGCTGAAAGGGAATGGAGATGACAAATGTATAGAAAGCCACCATGCTGGGGGGAGACTGAAGAGTGAAAGCAAAAGGAGTATAGCACGTGGGTGGAGAGGGAAGAACAAAGGAGAGAAAGGCAAAGATGTACAGTGAGTCCAGAGAAGTCCCGTGGGCCCAGCCCCTTCAGACCGCGACAAGAACAATATATGGCTTGACAAAGGCGGAACAGCAAGGAGCTATGACATCTCATCCACAAACTTGAAGTGGGCTAACAACACACCCGAGTTGATGGGTGCCAGACCCAAATGGTTCCAAGATGTTAACAGTTATGCTCCGTTGTTTTACCATGAAGACATACCCAGTTTTAATAATGTTAAGACTTACTGATGTGTCGTTGAAGTTGGATGATGATAAACAAGACTCTAAAAATGAACCAGTGACTGTGACGAATACTTCTTTAAACAAAGTAAAGAAAAAGGAGGTAGATGAAAAGTGGCACCATCACAGTTGAGTTATAATTACTAGTAATTGGTTTGTGTTCACAAATTTTCCATGTGGTTTTCTGAGGAAAAAATAACATCAACTGTGGGTCCTGATGGCAATTTTAACTGTATTTTAATTGTATTTTAATTATTTTATCTTTTATTGTATTTAATTGAATTTTAATTGTTGTAAGCCGCCCAGAGACCTTTGAGTAGAGTGGGCGGCATATGAGTTAAACAAATAAATAAATAAATATTTTCTCTACATGATATAAAGTTTTCAAAGTGATAGGGACTTGCTCTGCTCCCAAGAGAAAACCTCCCCCCCCCCATAGAGAGAATTCTCAGCAACCTGATGGAGCTACCCTGTATTTCCAGACTTCTTTGGGAAATACAGTGAAGCATGTGTGAAAATGCTCTATGTTATGCTCTAAAAATATATATTTTACAGTGAAATATATGGCTGCTTCGTTACATAGTGGGAAAAGAAATAGTCTATGTCTTTTTATCTTTTATTTAATTTAATGCTGTATGTAAATGTATCAAACATCTACAGATTAAAAATATTTCTTTATTTGAAACATGTACATGCTATATCACTCTTTTTTTTTAGGACTTGCTGAAAATCAAACGGAAAGAGATTGATTTAAAGCATTTGCAGGCTCAGTGCCAAGGAATTCGAATGCGACAGAAATATTCCCAAAATGAACTAGAAGTTCTTAGGAAAAAACATCTTGCTAGTTTTTATAAGGTAGTATCAGACCTTTAGATGGCTATTTTTAAAACATCTTTCTTTATTTGTCTACTCAATGACTAAATAGACTTCCAAGTACAGTAGTACCTTGGTTTGCTAACGCCTCAGTTTAGGGTAACTTTCAGTTTACGAACCGAAATCTCTAAGAAATAAAGCCCTGGTTTATGTTGTTGTTGGGAGTTTTTTCGCACTACAAAATGTTTCCCCGGGGCGTATTGCACCTATAGCACTGCCCTTTCATAGCACAATTGGTGTTTCGGTTTGCGAAATTTCTGTACTATATAGTACTATATAACATCGTGTAGAATGGATCTGTTTCGCAAACCGAGATACTACTGTATAGCTATAATATCTTAAATTACAGCATGTTCATCTGCTGCCAGATGAGAAGGTATATTTTTAAAATGTTCCAAGTATTGCCAAGTTAGGCTGGAGAGTTTTCACTGGAGACTTCATTTTCATACTTTCCACTCTAAATGTCAGTATTGCATTTAGGCAGTCTGGACTCCCATAATAGTTGTTTTTAAGTTCTTTCATTGCTTTCTAGAAGAAAATCTTGAGAGAAATGTGGATTGTGGATCATATGTGTTTGTCCATGTTTTCCCCTCAATCCTCACCTTCATTCTCTCCAAATGCATGGAATTGTCTCCCTTTGATATGCCAGTGGCCTGCCTTGTTAATAGTATAACGGTGGTTCCAGAAGAAAATGTTCTTAATCTGTAAATAACACCTCAGGTTGTGTCCATATTTACATTTAATTAGGATGAAATACTGCTAGTTTGTGCTCTTTTAAAATTGGTTGCGCCATTTTTGTTTTTGGACTATGTTTTTGTCATTTATGTTGTATTTACTTTTGTGTAGTTTGTTTTAACTGTCTGTAAACCACTCAGAATAGTGCTTCAGCATTAATGGGGCAGTATATAAATTAAAGTAATAAATAAATTGCCTTTTAGGAAAAATCTATGCTGGAAAGTGAGCTGATAAATATTCAGTCGCAGTGTTCTATGCAGAATGAGGGAATCATGCAGAGAGCTGGAAAAATAGATGAACTACAAAAGGCAATTAATGAGGTATATTCTTTCAGCAAAGGTAGCATATAGATTAATAATGGCTAGATGGTGACATTTTGCTGTGGGTGCCTCATGTGGCTGCTTATGAAATTTTGGCCTCTGGAGACAGGGATCAGGAGCAGGGCACCCTGGAAAAGCAGATGAAGGACTCTTTGTCCGAACACCAGCTTGTCTCAGCCTGCATTTGGCAAAGCAGGTTCTTTTTGCTTTGGCATTGGTCGATTGGCAGATAGCAGATATGTTATAGGAGAAAGAAATGGACATTTGTAACAGAAGGAAATACACTCCTGTCCCTCACTGACTTAAAATACAGTGGACCCTCTACTTACAGAATTAATCCGTATTGGAACGGTGGCTGCAGGTCGAAAAGTCTATAGGTTGAGTCTCCATTGACCTACAATGCATTGAAAACCGATTAATCCCGTAACCGGCCGTTTTTGTTCCATTTTTGTTCCATTTTGGGTTTTTTCTGGTCTGTAGGTCGATTCTCTGGCTGCAAGTCAAACCTAAATTTTGCGGCCAGAGAAGTCTGTAACTCAAAAAGTCTGTAAGCCGAGCCATCTGTATGTTGAGGGTCCACTGTATAAGGGATAAATATGTTTTAATGGCATATGTTTCTCTGTGACACCCGAGATGCTATGCTTCAGCAACTGCCCAATTGGCAATTGCATACACTGAGTGGGTTGGTGTCACAGAAGATGCAGCTACAGTGAAGGAGCAAGTGATCTGGATTCTGTTAGGAGCATCAGTTTAACCCATTCCTGCACTGTAGTTCCAGTTCTGGGTAACTTCTTTGCAATTACTTTGTGTTATCAGTAAAATGCCTTTGTAGGCAGCCTGTGTTATCAGTAAAATGCCTTTGTAGGCAGCCTGTCTAAGGAGGGACATTCTTTGAGGAAGTGTGAAGTATTGATACTCTTAATTTCTTCCTTCAAGACTGTTATCATAACTTGAGAAAAGAGTCCTTCTTAGAAAACATATTTAAATATTATATGACAATAAATTATTTATGCGTATAATATATTATTAAACTGCATTATATTCCTTTTGTGGACGGGATTGTAATAGGTGGAAGATGGTATTTTTCATGAATTCTGTGAAGAAATTGGTGTAGACAATATTCGTGTATATGAAAAAGAACATGTACAGAAGCAGGAAGAAATTGACAAGAAGAGGTAATTATTCAAGAACTCAAATTCAAGAACTCAAATTTTTGTGGCCTCTGTCCAATCCCACAATGACACACAACACAATTGAAGCTGGAATGATCATGTGAGATGAAGGGTGGAAGTTTGCCCAAGTTTGCTACGGGCAAAATCCTGTTTGTGTAGTTATGCCAGTGTAACCCTGATCAGGCACTGGAAATAAATCATTTAAAATAAATGGAAAGCTTCTTGTTCCTCCCACCTGCCCCCGCCACCACCACTGCACACATTCAGGTTCTGAGGGTCCCTGGGGAAGTCTTTAGGAGCCTCAGGGTGCAGAGGCAAGGGCCCTTTAATAGTAAAAAAATCCCCATTGGATTGCTACTGCTGGTATCAGGTTCACACATGGCATTCTGGTGGCATTTTTTTCCTATTAAAGGTCCTTCCCCCCGCCCCATGTCCTGAGATTCCTAAATGCTTTGCCAGAGTAAAAGGGAGCCCAAGTGAAGCTTGAATTAGAAAGGGGAGAATAGGATGCTTTGCATTAAATTAAACTAATGATTTCCAGCACCCAGATCTATTTTCAGTCTTCTGGGTTGGGTTGACATCCACTAATGACCCTCTTTCCCCCTTCCACTCTCTGTTATTTGTGTTCACTTTATTTTTAAAAGAGCATTTTATTCAACAAAGTATACAAACAGTACTTCGTGACTTCACAGTGGAGAGCTGTTCTTTAGGTTTCATAAATGACTAATTTTATATTTTGTACCTAGACTAAAAATATGTATTTTATGAGTTATCCATATTGTGCTGCTTTTGGTGTCATAATTAACTAATTTTCTCTTTGCCTTGAAATATGCCTCTTTTTATTTGACTAGATTTGAATTTGAAAACCAGAAAACACGCCTGAGTGTTCAGCTTGAGTATATCCGCAGCTTGATAGAAAAGGAATTGAAAAAGAATAACATGCTGAAGGAAAGTATTGTCAAAGATGAAGCCGGTATCGTTGAACTGAAAAAGGTGAGCAGTGATTTGACAACATAGTGAAATGCTAAAAAGTCATCTCTAAATGAGCCTGTGAGAATGTGTGAAGTTGGTCCTCTCACACAGGCAATCCCACAGACCACATGTGGTCCAGGACTTCACTCACTTTCCTCCACAACTGTGTTGATCAGCCCTCAGTTGGCCACTGAGAAGCACAAAGGTGTTCTCCAAACTGTTAGTAGCAAGGCGGCAGTGATCTTGACCATGAGCATAGGGGCAAATGGGTATGTGTAAGCCCCCCACCATGTTGCCCTGCCATTTTAGGGGCTCCCACCTGTCCTTTGAATCCAGGATTAATTAAAATTTTTAAAAGGAGGGCATTGATAACTTCTTCATGGTTTCTGTGAATCTCGCACACGTTTTGTGCCTGTTGAAAGCTGTCTTTCAAATTTTCCGGAGCTCAGTAGATTTCCAGCTGGATCCCCCCCCCCAAATCATGCATGTCTAAGCGCATCCAACAATGTTCTCTTCACTTCCTTTTCCTCTACCATGCTAGCTGCAGTCAGAGGAGCATTTGGGCGGTGGTTGTTCATCAACAGTGACTATTCTCTCTTTTTTCTTATACAGTGGAGTCTCGACTTACAGTCGGCTCCACTTACGTACTTTTCGACCTACGTACTTCTCCGGTCACAAAGTTTCACTTCGACTTGCAGCCAGAGAATCGACCTACGGACCAGAAAGAGGAGGTGGGGAAAGCACCAAATTCAAATTTGGCACCTTCCCCGCCTCCCCCTTCCAGTCCGTAGGTCGTGCCTCCGAATGCCTTCCAGGGCTTCTCCGCTGCCATGGGAGGCATCTCGGAGGTCCCTCCCCCACTGCCGATAGTGCTTCGGAGCCACTATTGGCGGCGGCGGGGGACCTCTGAGATGCCTCCCACGGCGTCGGAGAAGCCCTGGAAGGCATCCGGAGGTCCCTTGCCTTTTTGGCTTCGGAGGTCTCAAACGGCTTCCTCCAATGTCCAGGGGGGG